CAGATCAATAATTTGTTTCACCTTTAAACTGTGTTGTAATGGATCCTTCTGTGCTCTGGTAGCCTGTTACGTTTGCAATACTGTAGTGTGTATGAAGCATGTAATGTACAAAGTGGTAAAGCAGAATAATCAAAGACATTAAGTCACTAAAAAGAGTAACTGGAGCATACTGTAATCACTCTACTAATATGTAATATGCATAATGCTAATATACTTAGAAGACATTCTAAATATATTTTAAATGTAATTTGATTACAGAATAGTACACTTAAGATAAAAATATCAAGCACGTTTATATTACATAATAAAACAGAATACTTAAAGTATGCAAAGTATTTTAATTGTTCCAAGAAAGCATGTTATGGCCCCGGGGGGAGAGCATCATCAGCTTCTGGGATGTTCACCCGAGTTCACAGCAAATTACAGCTCAATCATCTGCCGGGGCCCGAGCGCCAAAGAACAGTTATTTAGTTTTGTTAAATTTCTTAATCGTTCTTTTTTTTCTCCGTCTGAGTCTTTCCAGATTGAATTGTTCTTTATCAGCACTGAACAACCAGAACCTGAAGCAGGAATTGTAAAGCCCTCTGATTGGTCCATTGTGACAACAGGTTAAAAATCACCAGCCGTGAGCTTTAAGATCTGTTTTTATTAAAATTCAGCAAAACAAGAAAAGGTTCAATGTTACAATTCATGATCAAACATAATTTAGTAGAAATTAAGGTTAATTTAAAATTACATTCTTTTTTAGTTTAAGTAGACATTAAAAACAGACAAAAATAAACTCGTTAACATTGATCAATTCAGAAATATTAATTTTATTTGATGAAATGAAGAAAACCTGTTCAAACATGCGAACACAGGAAACATTCAGCTAATTAAAATGTTAATTAGAGCAATGCCATCATCAGCTAGAGACCTTGTCCCTTTGACAATCAAGTTTAAAACTCATAGTTTACATCTTATTTTTTCACTTTATATCTGTACTTCAAACACATTTTATTTTATTTAATTTGTGTCGCTGGACTTCTGTCAGGGCTTCGTGGTCTATAATAGATAGAATAATGAAAATAAAGAATCCAGACTCTTCCCCATGAGATGATAGCCTCTTGCAGAATAAACCAAACGGGTTTTCCTGCAGTCTTTAACTTCTTATTGCCGAGAACATACATTAATTGGCTTCATATCAGACGCTCCATTCTCCTCTTTCTCCTCCTGGTTCTACTTGAAGCAACATCTGGGAGCAGCTCTGAACTTCCTGCTGCCGCAGATCTAAAAACCACAGAAAGGGTTAATAAACCAGAGACCATCAGTTTTTGCACTGTGGCGGCGCGTTGTTAGCCCACCGCTCAGCATATAAAAATGAACTGTGTGCAAACTTTGCGGCAGCGAAACAAACCTCTTCAGTCAACAATAAACTACAAAGAACCAAAATTCACCAAGTTACACAAAAATCTGAATCCATTTAGTGTGATGTAACACGCGCAGCATCAAACCCAGTGTTTATTCAATATTTTAATTTTTTTTGTCTCTACTTAAAAGATTAAACTGAACACTAAAAAAGTAAAAGATAAAATAAAAAATGAAGGGAAAACCTCAATCTGATGTAAATAGTACATATTTTCATTTTCTGTCTAAAATCCACATCGATCTGTGAGCCGATGTTCATAAAATGGATGTAAATTATGCAAGAGGAACTTGGATCATCAATGAAAAAGAAAACGGAGTCGGACCGGGACATGAACTCCAAACGGGTCTAGTCTGGTTCAGAGATTGTGTGAGAAACCGCACATTATCCCGTACAGTTAATTTATACATAAATCATGACATTTGCCTGGAGAGTTTGATTCGATTAGATTCACCTGATGGAGGAAGATGTGAGGAAAAGTATTGCTGAGCAGAATTACAACGAAATGAGTTTGAACATTTCATCTGAAGCGCCCACCTTCTTGGTGATAATGAGGATGATGATGAGGATGAAGATGAGACAAAGGATGGCTGGGATGATGGCAGGCAGATGATGCCTTGATGGAGCGGGAGCAGTCATCGGTGAGGGAAGCTGAGGACAGACTGTAACAGAGACCGGATCAGAGATAGTTCAGATAGTTCTGTCCCTGTAGAGCATCAGAACCGGGCAGCATGGAAATCCACAGGGGGAGAAATTAGCAGCACCACCACGTGTGGAGCTTCTCACCAGTCTCGTTGAAGCTGATGGAGCCTCCCGGGCCCTCCATGAAAAACTTCACACCAGTCGTCAGGTTGCGGCAGACCACTGTGACCAGCTGGTCCATGCAGACGGAGCACTGGGAGGCAGAGGATCCGGGGCAGGAAGGCAGGGGAATCATCGGATCTTCTCTGGCCCAGAAATGTCCATCGTCGACCGTCCTGTCGTACAGCATGGAGACGGTGGGAGCTGCTGGATCAGCTGAGGTAAAGCAGGTCAGATTCATCTGCAGAGAGAGGAGAGCGAAGAATTTCTGGTGGTCTGCACTAGTAGGACGTAAAAGGGTTGAATTGGCAGCCGATACCTTGGAAAAACAGATAATGGATCCTCTGGTTCCGCTCGGTAGAATCCTTCCAAAAGGGCCCAGCGTCTGCAGGAGAACAGCAGCTCTGGAGGATCTGACGCTCAATGTTGCAGTATTTATGGTCAGTTCAGCGGGCGGATCCAGACCAGGTGGTGATGTCACCTCAGTTGGGCGGATCTTTGGATTCTGACGTCTGTGGTTGGATTCCGCTGGTTTACAGGTCAGGTGTTCCGCCCAGGGATCGTAGGCTTAGTCTTTACTTTCTTTTTTCTCCTCCCAGCATTCATGATTTCTCCGACATTTCGGCCCCGAGACATCTGAGGTTGTGGCTGATTGTTAGTTCATATAGCCCCACATAATACAATGTTCCAAGAAGGAAGTAAACCTTTAAACAAGATAACACAAAAAATCACGAAGGAGAAGATCCAAAAGCAATGGATTCATCCGAAAATCACATATGTAATTCTCAGAGAAGTCGCTGAGCAGCACTTGTTTCACTGGGCAGAGAAGTCGCGGCTCCGGGACATACTGAAGTCTCGGCTCCGGGACATACTGAAGTCTCGGCTCCGGGACATATTGAAGTCGCGGCTCCGGGACATATTGAAGTCTCGGCTCCGGGACATATTGAAGTCGCGGCCCGCTACATTTAGTGTGAAAGGGCGCTTCCCCTTTTATCCTTTATGCCCCTAGTGCCCTTTTTGATTTTTTTTTTTCAATTTTATATTTATTTATTTATTTATTTATTTTTTATCTGTATGTCAGAAATCCTGCTTGTGCCCCTCAGCAATAATGTTTAGCTAAATATAATAATTTAGTAAAATGAACTAGTCTGGCTGGCCTCAGTCTAATAATGACTCTCAGAGCCTCCATGTTGTTCAGACATCGGGTCCATGGTGAGGAGGAGCGGATCTGCTCCCTATCAAATTATGGGCAAGAATATTTTTATTCACAAACCAAATACACTGGTTTGTGAATAAAACGTAGGTCTGTTGACGTTAGAAAAACTGTTTCTATTTATATTTTCGTAATTGTCCTCGCAATAGCGGGAAAAACCCCGCCTCGCCCCTAAACACAGAAATGCTTCGGCTGCAGAGAAAACTTCTGACTTTAACTTAATCAGGCTGCTAAATGCCACATCTCTACCAGGCGGGTTAAAGCCGCTGCTGACTGGATCTGGGCTGGAGGTGAGCGGGTGTAAATAGAAGTTATTGCAGAACCTCAAGTGTTAAAGGAAGATTCGGCCCATTTGGAGTTCACAAAATAAACATAAGCGAAAATACTGTAGCAGTAATTAGAACCGCAGCATAAACCCAAACATGCCACAATTAAATTAATCAAAACGACCCCAAAGCGTCGGCGGACTAACATAGGGGCCACCGGGGGGATTCCAGGTAGATTCAGAGATGCGCATCGCAGGGCCGGACCAAGGTAATATGGGGCCTTAGACAGAAACCCCCCGAAACCCTTCCTACTAAGAACCTCAGCATCAATAACATGTTTAAATATAGATAAGGTGAAGTCTGTGAGAGGGAGACCAGGTTTATTGGCCAAGTTTAAAATCAATCACTGATTATTGGTTATTTTCTGTGATGTATTTGTGAACAAACCAGCTCAAACACAATGACTACACCATATTGTAGCCATGATAACACACTATCAAACTATCAACATGATTCTTTAAACTTTTACAAAGTAAACTTCCTAATTTAATCCTAAATATATTTTTTTCTCATTTGAATGTATTAAATAAAAATTAATAACATTGTCATTCTCTATAAAAGAATGCTACATGTTTAGATCTATGATCTGTGTTACAGTTCAATCATTTCTAGGGGCCCCTGAATGGCCCTACTGAGTTTGTTTTTTTTGCCTTCATATCCCGGTCAATTCTAGATCTGAGGTGTTAACATCAAAAGATAGAGTTAACCCTTTTGAGCTTCTTTGATCTATAAATCAGTCTGCAGCCAAGTTACTATAGAGGTTAAACAGTCAGATATCATTAGGGCTTAATTAGTAAAATGGCAGCAAATTTGCTTATTTAATAACTTCATAACATTTGACCTTCTCTCTGATGGTCTGTTTAACAGCCACAGTCTGAGATCAGCTCAGCCCTCCAGGACTGTCAGCAGCTGAAACAGAAACATTAAACCTGTTGGGGAAAATATACCACATTTGCTTTGCATTGTCCCCACACGATGGCAATGATTTAGTAGGATCCAATGAAATTCTAGATTAATATGGATTGTTGCTATATTGGTGTACGGCGTTTTAAGATCTTGTTCAATGTGCCATTTCTTTTACTTTGAGCCCCTGCCCCTCCAAAAGTCTCTGCACGGCCCTGAGTCGATTGAAAAAGTTGAAAATATATCTTCATTACCAGTTTTGTTTTACTTTAATAGCCAGAGGAAGTAGTATGAGCGAACCGCATTTTATTTTGACGGTCACCGGAAGTAGTATAAGTTCGGCGTTCCGAGCTTGATGCCGCCGGACTGGAACAGTTGGAAAAGTACTGCAGGCTGCAGCTGAGCAGGACAACTGAGAGAGAGAAAGTTGAAGCGGAGTTTAGTGAATGAAAATGGACTCTGCGACGGTGGAGATAGACGGCAGCGTCATGGAGGGAGTGAGTATTCACTTTAATTAGCAGAGAAACAACGGGAAAGCCGCAGAGGTTCCTCCTCCGCGCTGATAATAACAGGCTAACGGGGAGCTAGCTGCTACCAGCCGCCTCTCAGCGCCCCTGGTGCGGCTTCTGTCTCACCCCGCTGTCGGTTCTCCTTAGGGCGGACAGATCCTGAGAGTCTCGGCGGCGCTCAGCTGCATCACCGGCTCCGCCATAAAGATCATCAAGATCCGGGCAGGCAGGAGCACCCCGGGGCTCAGGTGGGTTAGCAGCTAACAGGCTAACGTTAGCCTATTCATTAAAGTTGCTTCAGTCAGTTTTAAAAGAACAAAAACCCGTTTAATCAACTCTAATGTTCGGTCTTTGGCGTCAGATTTATGACGCAGCTCAGGTTAAACGTGTAACTTTCATATGGATTCTGATGATTTTAAACTTTTAACAGATTTAATGTTCCAGGATCTCCACACACAGACCAGTCTTCATTCAAAAATCTCCATAAATAAGAATATTAATGAGCATCTGAAGCATCAGTGAATCAGACTGCCAGCCAATAGGAGCGTCTTTCTGTTTTATCCACAAAGCCTTCACGTTATTCCCAGTTTTCTCTGCTGCTTCCTTTCTTCCAGAAAAATCTGTTCATCATTAAACATCCATCAACTCCGATTCAGCTCAGAGATATAAGAACTAGACTATCAACTTTTAGATCAACCTGCAATGATGTTGCTTTCAATGAGAATTGGAAAGAAAATGCTCAAATTTAATGCCATTTTCAGATAATGGCATTAATTATCTGATTAATTAATCTGATTATCTGATTAATGCTAGTCATTAGCTAGATGACTAGCTAATGTTAGCTAAAAGATGACTAGCTAATGTCAGTAGTTATATTTCAGTATAACTACTGAAATAACTAATTTCAGTAGTTATCTACTTGGAGATCATTGGAGCTTGATAATATTTTTACAAAATCAATTAGTAATGTTGAGCCATTTTGATTGATTAACAGATATATATATTTGGTCACAAACCTTTTTTTGGTTCTGTATTTAAAAAAAAATACAGAACCAAATGTTGTGCAACATTGACACATTTTTTCCAAATTTTTTTTTTTTTTAGAAACAACTTTCATATGTTATATATGCGAGAGTAGAAAATATATTTTTAAGAAATAATGTAAAATTTAATTTGGGATATAACCTCAAATCTTTATTACTTTCATAATAATTCTCTACAGATGCACAGATCCACTTTTTTCACTTCTGATGTCTGAGGTTTACTATCAGCCTATCTGATACAGACAAACAACTGAATTGACTTAAAATGTTTTTTAAAAAAAGAACAAAAAACTAAGATATAAAGGTATCTGATAACTCTGCAGTAGTACAGCTCACTTAAACACACCAACAGCTTCACAAGCTCGGTCAAACATGGAAAACCAATTTTAATTTGTTCAGTCAGTGCAGGTAGGAGCAGATCAGCTTTGGTCAAACATGTAAAAATAAGCTGCAACAAATGGTTCATAAAATATAATTAGACCTTCTAAATACAATATAAAATAAAGACTAAAGCATGATATCGCTCACAGCACAGAGCATAGAATTAGACTGAATAGATGTGCTCTTAGGGATTGGAAGCATTGTAATATCCGATCTAGAATTTTTTCAACATCGGAACCAATACAGATATTAATATTTCTAGCACATTTCTAGTTTCAACCCTTTTTACGCTGCGTGTTTTTTTTATTTCAGGCCGCAGCACCTGACGGGCCTCCAGCTGGTCTCTGACCTCTGCTCCGGCAGCCTGCAGGGCGCCAGCATCGGCTCCACTGACATCAGCCTGACTCCAGGGAAGGTCCGGTCGGGGAACCACACGGCCGACACGCAGACCGCAGGGTGAGGAGCGACCGGCGGCCGCTGCACGCCCCCCGACTCGTTTTTCCCACGGCTCCTGTAATGTGTGTGTTTTCTGTCAGGAGTGTGTGTTTGCTGCTGCAGGCGGCCCTGCCCTGCGCGCTGTACGCCGACGCCGCCTCACAGCTCCTTCTGAAAGGAGGAACCAACGCAGAGATGGCCCCGCAGATCGACTACACTGTAAAGGTAAGCTGAGTGCTCCCCCTGCTGGAGCCACAGGGTCACTGCAGCAGAGTCCAAGATAAAAGATTCACCAGTTTATGTTAAATATTGACCAGTAGGTCCAGTTAGATACTGTTTATATCGCTACACTCAACACAGGATCTGTAGACCTAGTTCGTATGGGTGCTTGAAATCCTTGAATTTCAAATTTGTTTTCAGGGTTTGGAAAATTCTTGATTTGTGTAAAAATTCCTTTAAAGTGCTTTGAATATAAAGGACTTTATATATAATATATATAATTAGTACTTTATTACTTCTAACAAAGTAATACAGCACATTGTACAGTGACATTGTACAGTCACTGTACAATGTGCTGTACAATGGCTGCTGGAAAAGAGAAAAGTTTAGTTGTTGACTTACCATCTAGAAACCACCTGCTGCATTCTTGTTGGTTGTGCAGGAGGCTACACTTCTGCTTTTCAAATGTGTTTGGTTGTTTAATTGCAGCCATTTTCATGTTAGTGTAAACATTGAGACCAGCAGCTTATTTCGTTTTAAAGTGACGGAGGCCATAAAAACAGTTTATTCTGAAAGGAGAACTGAAGAGATTTTGTTAAAAAAATTGTAATAAACATGTTTTGTGTAGCCATAGACCTCTTCCAGCCTGTTCGAGGAAACATAACGGGTCTCCTTCATGGCAGATATTTAAAGTTTTGAACCGTAAATTCTCCATAAACTTCCTGGTTCCTCCTGCAGGTCTTCAAGCCCATTGTGGAGAAGTTTGGCGTCCATTTTGACTGCGACATCAGGATGAGGTCCGTCCCTCGACTCCGTCACTGTCCGGCTGCTGTTTCCTGTCAGAGACCCTGGTTGTCATGGCGTCTGTTTGTGCTGCAGGGGCTACTACCCTAAAGGCGGCGGGGAGGTGGCGGTGACGGCACAGCCGCTCAAGGAGCTGCAGCCCGTCTCCATGACGGACAGAGGAAACATCACAAAGATCCACGGCAGAGCCTTCGTGGCCGGAGTCCTGCCCTTCAAAGTAAAAGCCCCTCTCAGCTGATTTAAAGTCTTTTAATTTGGCTTGTTTGGTCTGTCTGAGCTGACTTCCTGTTTCTGTCTGCAGCTGGCTAAAGACATGTCGGCCGCTGCCGTTCGGACCATCAGGAAGGAAATCAAAGAACTTTACATCAACATCCAGCCGGTGCAGGAGAAGGAGAAAGCCTGCGGGAACGGCAACGGCATCATGTAAGCCCCGCCCACCTGCTGCTGTGACAGCACCAGCAGCTCTCTGATTGGTCGCTCTGTTTCAGAATCATCGCTGAGTCGTCCACAGGCTGCCTGTTCGCAGGATCGGCTCTGGGAAAGAAAGGTGAGGATGACCAGCAGGGGGCAGCACCGCTCTGGAAACCAATCAGTGTGTTTTCATCACTGCAGAGGAATCAGGAGCAGTTTGATGGTTTTACTGGAGGAAAAGCTTCACTTCACACCAGGGCTTATTTGGTTAATTTTTCCACCAATGTACTCTTCTGGTTTCCAGAGATCAGAGTGATGTCAGAACTCCCAGGGCGGCCATCTTGTTTCAGACGTTTATTTACAGCTGCTATTTATTTGGACCTTGAGTTCAGGTCATCTCTGCAATAGAATATTAGAGCCAGGATATTTTTATTATTTATGAGAATAAAGTCATGTGACAATGACAGAGTATGTAGGAACATGCTAACAAAATAAGACTTATTACAAGAATAAAATCAACCAACTTCAACCAATCAGGTTCCAGGTCCCGCCCCTGTGACCTCTGACCTGTTGTTTCAGGTGTTTATGCAGATAAAGTGGGAATAGAAGCAGCTGAGATGCTGCTGAGAAACATCAGACACAACGGCTGCGTGGACGAGTTCCTGCAGGACCAGGTGAGGCTGCAGCACGCCGTGATGATGATGATGATGTCACTGACCCTTCCTCCTCCTCAGCTCATCATCTTCATGGCGCTGGCGAAGGGAACGTCTCGGATTCGGACCGGCGCTGTGACTCTGCACACGCAGACGGCGATCCACATCGCAGAGCAGCTCACTCAGGTCAGACAGCGAGAAGCTGAACCTGAGATCAGATCACAGCTGGAGACGCTCCAGTGAGAAAAGATTGAAGTCTAACTGGGAAATTAGTCATTTTAGTTTCTTGCCTTATGAACAGGCAAGTTTGTACCTAAAACTACAAACTTGCCTGTTCATAATATTTTACTCACTGAAATCTATTAGGAGATTGATAAATCATGTTGTTTCCACAGTTATTTCCTCGATCGGCCACTGATCATAATCGGCCGATTTCCGTGAAAAAGTGTGTGATCGCTGATCACGGTCTCTTGTTGCCGATCACACAAACCGATCATCACCTGCTTCTCATTCCCAGCCTGCCTGTGCAGCTGGTCTCCTTTTTCCTTCACTGCGCAAACGCGCAGCAACAAATCCTAAGCGATGTGGAACTATAACGCACTGAGTGAATGGGGAAGTTTGCGTGTTGCGGCGGAAAATTGAAGCACGTCAAAATGCATCAACACAACGAAGCTAATATGGCATAAAAACAATGAGATACTTGACGGAGTTTGGCTACATCGAGGCTCACTGCAGTAAAAAAGACATACGGAGGATCAGACAGCAGGTAAAGCAGCGCACAGCTACAAACACTCACCCGGATTAGCATGACGGTCAGAAAGCTAAACAAATAACCTGGAAAATGATTTAAGTCTTCGAGCTGCGATGTCAGACGCTGGTTCTGCTCTCCTGTTGAACCGCTGCTACGCTACAGGTAGTAATATCTGACAGACGGAGCTTCGCTTCTGCTCCACCTGGTAGTGACTCTCACACCGAACCTCTGCTTAAAGCTGCAGCATCTAACTTAAAAAATACATTTTACCTACGTATTAAAACTTTCGCTGTCCTAACATGAGACAGATAATCTCTAAAAAATAATCGATCTCCTCCCTGATCTGCATAATTACTCCGCTCAGTCAGAAACAGCCAATCAGAGCTAGCAGTAACCAGCTAGCCGCCATGCTAACAGGA